AAAGCCATCCCTGCTTTACTTAAGCAGCATTAAGCCCACCTAGCAATTTCTGCCTCTCTGTTGATCCAAAAATGCTTGTGCAAATAGAACAAGTACAATCCAAGAAGCATCAGCATCAGTACTTCCCCATCCTTTTAGCAGTGGCCCCAACTCTAACACAATTTCAAGACGCTAACCCTGTTAGAAACAAGAAGAGCTTTTGCAGTACCTTGCCTTCCAGATAAAGAGATTTAATTATATTATTCCCTGGACTGTTTAAACTTTTCATAATGAATGGACTAAGGGAGGCAGAATTTAAAGTCTTTCTTAAAAGCAGTTTTATAAACAGATCTCCTGGATTTTAATGTAGCTTTATTTAAGCATCTGAATATCAACAAATCCAGAGCCCAGTTAACATTTTTTTTATGGTTTCAGCATGTTTAGTGTATATATTTCATATCTTACATCTGATGAAGAAAGCCACAGTGTGCCTTATTGCCCCAACATCCAAGGGATCACCACAATTTGCTAAGCCAGGGCACTTGCTGGCAGCTTGCCAGGAACCACTTTGGAGATGGCTGCAACTTCCCCCTTTTGTACACATGAGAGGCCTCCAAACTTCTCATGCCTCAGCTTGCAGCACTCCACCTTGGAACCAACCTGTTGGTCTGATGCAGAGTATTACAACCAGGACCTGCAGGTCCTTGAGCCTCCTCTTCCTTCTGATGGAAAAGAGCAGACTTAGGGTGTATTGTAGGCACACCTTAACCACCACACCTTAAGGACATGATTATCAGTAGCTATTACAAGTTATCTACCTCTGCCAGTGCAGAAGGTTGGTTTTTGTCAAACAATACCAGACAGGTCAGACTTGTTTCAATAAAGACTGCTCTGTCCCAGGAATCTAGAGGAGCTCAGTCCACAGAGGATTCTCATACTGCTCCTTAACACTGAGGGAATGAAAAAGGGGAAGAAATAGGAGGACAGGTTTCTTTTCCAGCACCAAGTTCAATCAGCATTAGCTTCTTATTTAGGTCAAGAGGTGTAACAGGAACTGACAGCTGTTAAAGTGAGGAGGACAACAGAAAAGAACAATCAAGCAGCTCTGTAGACTGCATTCATGAAAAACACTGGCAAAGCATCTAACAACTGAAGGGGAGGGGGGCAAGAGGTGCAGAGGAAACCTGAGTGTTCCTCTTTACTAACACCAACCCCAGGAGACACCCCGACACACTGGCCAGTTTTATGTTCATATTTGATACGTAACAAAATACCAGGAATTTAAAAGTAGCTTAAAAACTTTAAAAGCCAGATCCTGAAGCAACTCAATGCTTCTGGGAGAGTAGATTAGACAGTCCGACTGCTTTTTAATCCAGATCTTTCTCCCATTTGCACTATAACCATCCATTTCAGAACAGGTTAAAGCTCTGGAATTATGTCAGTTAGTGCCTCCAGCACATCAGCTGGAAAAGGATGCTATGTGATCTACTCATCAGCACAAGTGACTTGAAATAGTGCAATCTTAAATGAGCAGAGAGAGTTTGGGGGGTTTGGTTCCTTCTCCAGGAACAAAGGAGAAGGTATGGAGTGCAAAGGGAAGAGACAATTGGTAAAATAAAGATCCTGCATTCAAGCTGATGTCTGTGATAAACTTATCCCCCAAATCCTAATGCCAGCATCTAGATAAAATCAGCTGTCTGTATCCTATCCCACCCCACCGTGGGACCTCACTGACTGAATCTAAGTCAGAGGGGAACAGTATCAGGTGTCACAGAAAGAGATGGAGGTTCGAGAGGTTTCCTAGTCTCTTGATCTTTGCTTGCAGGACACTGGACACTCTCAGTCCCTGATACGCATAAGCCCTATTTGGAGCAATGCAGCAATCCCCACATTTCATTTTCTCCTCCATCCAAAGGTCATTTCTTCTCACCAGCACCATCCACCTCACCCCACTTCCTGTCCAGAAGAACAGCAACATCTCTTACTCCCACTGGCCCTTGCTCAGAGCCCAACTGATCTGTGTTAATCCTCATCCTGATCCCAAGCTTCCCCCATCCTGCATCTGAGGCAAGAAGCCACCTCAGAGTCATGTTTGTTCAGGGACTCCTTGGCTAGTCTGGTAGTCAGAGGGGAGAAAGGGGAGGATCTGGGGAAAAGGGGACTGGAGTGGCCTTTTGTTTCCTTCTAGTTGGTCACAGGCTTTTCCCTTTTTTCAGGGGTTCAGGCTTGTTCTTTGTCTGCCCTCCACAGCCGCTCTTTGACTTCCAAGGGCAATGTGTTGAACAGGTCCTCCTCTACCACAAGCCCACTGCGTTTCAGCAGAGGACATTCTCCCAGCTCCACAGGCAGGCACTCCAAGCGGTTCCCTCTTAGCTCTATCTGCGACAGATTTGTCAGCTCTCCAACTCGGGATGGAAGTGACTGCAGCACATTGTTTCCCAGGTTCAAGGTTCTCAGCTTCCTGCACTGGAACAGCTCTGGTGGGAGACTCTCAATCTGAAAAAAAAGACATCAATCATAGGCAAAGTCACCAGCAAACAGGACACACACTCATAAGAGACCAACAAGCCCACACAATGCTTCAAGGTCTACAGAGCACTTGTTTTCAATCATCCACTTCTCCCTTGAGTGAGCTCCTGCTTTTCACCATAAGGACTGTTCCCAAGTAAAAGTCGCTACACCATGATTGTATGGATTCCTCTTTCAGACACTCTATTGCATTAGTTACAAAAGATCACCAATGATGGTGGCTAAAGCAGAAATCACCACCAAGGACAGGATTAGAGCACCAGAAGCCTGCTCACGGCTGGCCTATACTGTCACATGCTCCCATCAGTATTAGCTTCTTTCCATCCCAAACCCTTTACACCATCATTGGATCATAGCCCCTTTGCTTTAAGTAGCTATTGTACAACTGGTATTATACTGAACACCATAAAGACTGATGTAGTCAGTACTCCTAGTTTTGCTGTAATAAGAGCAGAGGCTACGTGGGTATGATCTCCAGGCCCTGAGAACTAGGGCTATTCTTCCATCATTTCTGTAGGGCTTTGAAACATTGCAAGGACTTTCTAGGCTCCAAAGTACAGGTTTTGACAGTACCAAAATGCAACCAAAAAAGTGAAGCCACCAGCTGTTAGCTTTCCCACCACTACCTTCACATATCCATGAGTCACCAATTTAATAAGGCTTATTTCTATTAAAGCCTTTTAATAGTCCAGTCCTCCCAAAGGATTTCTAAGAAAACAATATGGCTAAGGTTTAACAAACACTAGGCTATGAACTAAACATAGCAATTCAGTATTCTCCCCTTAATTCAAAGTCTCATCTTGGAGGCTATCACTTTCCTTTAAATGCAACTGTGTCCTTTTTAAAATTTAAATTATGCATGACATCATTCACAGCTAAGTTAAACTGTAATCAGTTCTGAATGAGATGGAGTCCAAGGAAAAGCCAAGATGGCTTTTCCAGACCAATTAAAGACAGTTCAATTCAGTCATTGTTACTGGTACTGTCGAGTGTTTTGCAAACAGCAACATGCAATCAAAGGATCACAGAGTCTTGAACATAATAGTGTTATTTAAGGGACAAATATTGGTTTAGGAAGGAAACTGTGATATAATACAGCCTGCTTCCCAGAATGGTACACTGGTACAAGCCAACTCCAGTAGTCTCTATTTGCTAAGACTGCTGAGCTAGGAGAGAACATCTGAGAGAATTCCTGGCCTTGGGAAATGCCAGCCTACCAGTCCTTGTGTTTCCTGCTGTCACTGTTTACTGTAAGTAACCAGGCTGTCAGAGCCCCAGGGCAACTGTGGCCTTGCCCAGGCACCTGGCAGAGGATACAAACAGCTTAGCTGCTTCACTGGGTCCTCACCACCTTTTGCTTCAGAACACACTGGCGCAAAGGCTGCTCCAGCCTTCCTGTTGCATTAGCATTTTTTCAGAGAAATGGGTGGTGCCACACTGTGCTGCAGAAAATGGAGCTGCCTCTAACTCCTTTTCATCCAAGAGAGGCTCCGCCCCAAGACCACAGAGGATACATTGCAGATTAACCCTTGGGAAGCTGTGCTAGGAAGGCTGCCAGAAGGCAAATGGTACAGAATTAAAGATTCTTATCCAAGTTCTGAACAGTGGCTTAAAACTCCCTCATCTTTGCTTAATGTCATCCTCAGAAACTACCCATATCAGCCCCGCTTGCCCCAAGAAAATATTTTGGCTTTTAACTTAATAGGAAATGATGTGTGCATGCCATGAAGTTCACCACAGCTTAAGCCACCCATACAGACAGATGCACAGCCATCCAGCCTGTTAGTGCTGGGAAAACTGACTGAGCAGCTATTAAACTGGGATAGCTGAATGGCTGCTGCTTGTCTGCTGTTACTCTTCAGTGGCACAACAGACTGGAACTTTCAGACACTAACTTCAGAACGCTGGCTGGAGTTTTAGGAACCCTGTGTAATACTGATCTGCATTAGCAACTGAATACTTGATTTGAGAGTGTTTCCCCTGTGAAAAGGCAAACCATACTAGGGCTGCTCCGTCTGCCTCTCACAGGCAATTTGACAGCGTTCAGTTATGAATACATCTTGCCAATAGCAGTAAGGATCTTGATATACGACAGTGAAAACTAGGACTGCTCCAGGACAATTCTACTGCACATTCCCAGAAGAACCCAGAAGCCAATAATTAGATCTGTCTGCAATTTGTAGTTATGTTAGAGCCTTTTGCAACTTCAGGTGGTAATAAACTCCAAGAGAAAAAGAGCCTCCCAGGCATTTGCAGACAGAATGAACGAAAGCTTCAACAAAACATTCAGCTCAGCACACCAAGTCTGTGCAGTCACAGACTGATCTTTTGTGACACATGGTAAGCGAGGTCTCCTTAATCCTAAACACAGGAACAAAGATTCAGGAAAACACATGGGTACAGTTTGCTTTAAGCAAATAAACACTCCCCAACACAAGCCAAGAAACAACTTGTGGTAATCAGGCAGCATAGCACACTTGGTCATCCCCTCCAACCTGCCCTGCGCTTAGACAGACTTAGACAGTTAAGACTTAGACTTAACCTATCTGGAATTACACAAGAAAACCCGCAGCCATCACACTGAGGCATAGCAAGGTGCCATCATATTTCCTCCTCTCTGAAAGTCAAGGAATTGCCACAGTTCACACTTCGACATCAAACTGACTGCCAAATGATAAACCTGGTTTAGTCCACTCTGCCCTGAGTAAGGACATGGCAGAAGATTGCTTTGCTCTCTCCAAAGTCTCCTTTGGGGAATGAGACAATGCATTTTCAAAGTGAGAGCTTAAGAACCATTTTTCATAAGTCCGTCCATATCCAACTTCTCACAAAAAGTGCATGCTTACAAGACCAAACTATGGAATATTCCCCGTAAATGCAAAGTACTATCAGCAAAGCTGTAAGCCACACACAAACACGCCCTAGATGGTTGCTGCCACAGTGTACGTACATGGCTGAAGTACATAGGCTTGTGTGCATAGTTCTAGATTAAGACTACAGTTTCTCAGATCTCCATTTTAAGCCCAAAACTGATGTCAAGCTAGAGACTGCAAGCTTCCAACTGCAGAGAAGCAACTGACAGGCAGGATTTCTAAACAGCCTCCAATTGCCACTTAGTAGCAGTTTCACTGTTAAGAGAGGAAATGCTACAGAACAAGGGCTGTTGGAAGAAAGGCTTGCCCCTGAGTTATTTGCTATGTTTCACCTTAGCTAAACCCCTGAGAGAGACAAAAGCTTGAGAATTTAAATAGAATGGCAGTGCCAGGAGTATTTCAAACCATTATAGCGTGTTTAATCACACACGTAACAGAAGTGCCAGAGTTACTTTTACTCACACAGCAATGCTCAGCTCCTTGCCCACTTACCCTGTTGGCTGTCACAGCTAGGTTCTGCAGATTTTGAAGAAGTCCAACGTCTGGCGGTATGGAAGTCAGGTTGTTGTGGCTAAGATCCAAGTACCGAAGTTTTCGGCAATAGAAGAGCTGGGTAGGGATCTTTTCTATCTTGTTACGATTCAGGTAAAGGCGTTCTAAATTGGTTAGGTTGCCTATTTGCATGGGGATGTAGGCAATGTGGTTGTACCACAATTTAAGGCAAGTGAGACGATGTAAGTGCTGGAAGCTGATGATTTCCTCAATGGTCTTTAGGTTATTGTCCTTCAGGTCTATCTCCTGCAGATTGTGGAGGCTAAAGATAGAGTGAGGAATGCGTTCCAAGTCACAACGGATCAGCTCAAGCTCTGTCAAGTTGACCATTTTCTTAAGGCTGTTGAGAACAATGAGCTTTGTGCCCTCATTGTTGATGGAAAGCTTCTGAAGATGCACACCAACATCTGTCACCACCTGTGGCAGCTTGGTGAGGTTACTCTTCAACCTTAACACCTTCAGCCTCTTCAGCTCTCTCAATCCATCTATCACAATGTACCGGTTGTTTTCAGCACTCAAATTCCCTGTCAGATGAAGCTCCTCTAGGGTCTTCAGGCTATAAATCCAAAGAGGAATCTCCTTGATGTCTGTGAACTTGATGTGGAGAGATTTCAAATTCTCCCTTAAGAAGGCAAGGGCGGGAGCCTCAATTTTGGCAGCTGTGTGATAGAGCCACAGTTCCTTAAGGCTGGTGAGCTGGGCAATGCTTGGGGGAATAGTGACATCGGGGATAAGCTCCAGCTTCAAGACCTCCAGCTCAATGAGGTCAAAGACCGTGTCAGGTATGCCACTCAACATGAAAAGATGCAGTTCCAGCTTATCCTGGGAGTTCTTGGTGATCCTCTGGCGCAGCTTCTCCAAAGTCCACTCATTGTTGAGGTTCAGCTGCCGCAGTTTGTTCTCGCTCACCTCCGACAGAAAGACAGCAAAGCGCTTGGAGTACAGTGGGTCATACTGATCGATCAGATGGAGCATAAAAGCAAAGTCATTTTTCACATCAGGAATGTCACTGTAACTGCTCTCCTCCCGGATGGACTCAAAAGAGTATTTCTTGAGTGATCGCCTCAGCATCCACCAGAGTGTGTACATGCAGATCAAGCCATAGAATATCACCAAACTGATGTAGAAAGACGCCAAGATTTTGAAGAGAGTGGCCAAAGGATGAGCACAGCGGTACATCCTGTAGCCAGTCAAGCTCTCGATGTCCACTTTACAGTCAACATCAAACGTTATGTTGTTGACATAGTAAACAGTATAGCAGATGATCAGAATGAACTTGATCACTTTGATGATGGTCTGTCTCATATACAGGCGATAAACTATATCTCCCTCTTCCACATGCGTGCGGAACTTTTTCACTTTTTCAAAGAGTGCTTTGGCCTGTTCACCTTCCTTCTTGTCCAAGACACCAGTCTCAGACCGGTCCACAATCCCTTGCTCAATTCGAGACTTTGTTCTCTGCAGCATGGGAACAGTGGCTTCCACATCCTCACTGACTGTGGAGGATTTCTTGTCCATGGAGCCATTCATTTTCCCAAATGCTGGCTTGGTATCACTCTCTTCCACCACTGTCTCAGATAATGCCCTCGTTGTCCATGGAGAGTCAAAACACTTAAGCAAAATAGACACAAAATGCTCCAACTTGGAGCTGGTCCTTGGGAATTTGAACCAGAAGTTGCTACAAGCCAGGAAGATGAGAGTATGTAGCAGCACCAGATAAGGAAAATACTTGGCAAACCAGTGAAGACGGTTCTCATAACACACCGCATCCACATAGTTATACTGGTGCCGGTCCAAATCATATCGGATCCCCGTAGGCCCTGTATCAGTAGAAGGAACAAGACTAGAATTATAGTAGGTACGCTCTGGGGTTGCAGCTGTCCAACCTCTGACTGAGTCATTGCAAGAGTCTTTAGTAACCCATTTACAGGGCAAACAAATCATTTTGTCCTGGGTGACCTGAAGCGTCCCTCCAAACACTGCAATCATCAGCATCACTATGGAAATGTAGTCTGTGAAGACGTCCCACCATGGCTTCAGGATGCGGTATGCTGGCTGAGTGTCAGCAAAGTAGCGCAATTCAGTGACTGGAATCATGATTCACCTGAAAGGAAACCAGAAGCAGGCATTACTAGCTTAAACTGTTTTGTTCTGCTCTTCAAGAGGGCATCAGGAAACTCATGTTTTAAGCGCTGACACAGCAAAACTGGAATTAGCTGAGGCCCAATTTCAAGTCACTTGGAGACAAATGAATGAGGCTTCCTGCAAATAATTTGCTACGGCTGAGGCTGTGAAGTTAGTTTGTTGCTGTCTTCCCTGACAGATGAATTGTCACAAAACATCAGAACTGGTACTTATCATTAGCAGTCTGTGGGGCAAGACATTCACACTTAAAGAAAGCTCACAGGACAGACTTAAACTACCCCGGCCAGACCAGTACTTGGAAGTTTACTGTTTTATCTAGGGATTTTATTTCAGGGATGAAGGAGTTTGCCAGCACTGTTAGAAGTGATAAAATCCAGGCACAGAGCATAGTTGTCATGAGTTTGTTACTGTTTTTACAGAGCTAGAAAATAGTAATTCTGCATTTGTGTGGTTCTCAAACTGCAGGGGCCAGGAAGAGGATTTACACACAATGCAGTTATATTTTCTAGAACCACTCCATTGATGCAACTCACATTGAAAAAGCAAGCTGGAAAAGAGAACAAAGTTGTTTGATAGCATGACTTTTCCTTCCATACAAGTAGTTTTAGCTTCCCCCCTTTGGATTAATTTTCCAAGAAAATATTAGTTACTTGCCCTCTGATAGATTCAGTACTGAAATCCTGTAACAGCTGCTCTTTGCCTTATTTACTTCAGAAGTAGAGGAAAGGGGAGACATACTTAAAAGAAGAATTCATTTCCCTGACCAACCACTCCCACCTAGAGTTCATCTCAGCTGGGATTTAAGTGTCACAAAGGAAACTAAAAGGTTCTGGGAAGCAGAGGTCTTATGGCAGTGCTTGTTTTGTCCTTCAGACTTCCAGATGAAACTTCAAGCACATTCTTCAAGAAGCCATAGAAAGCCCGGAAGCCTGACTGATCCATGGATAACTGAGCTCACAAAATTCCCCTATCTGACAGGCAACACAAGCAAAGAACATGAAGTCATTTAACTTGTTCTAATGATGGTGAAAAAGCAGTAATAGCACATCATACTTGCTAGTAAAGTTCAGGAGTAGGACAAGCACTAATCTTTCAGCCATTTTGAAACTCCCATGAATTCAATTGTAAAGGAGGAAGAGCAAAAATTCAATCATGTTTCCCCAACCCATAGGATATCATTTGTACAGACAGTCCAAACAAGTCCTGGGGGACTGCAGGGTCGATAGCAGGTTTCTATATACCACTGGCTGGGAGAAAGCTTTCTTTGACAAGTGGGGCACCCACACCACCTGCTTTGGTAGAATTCAAGTTTATATTTAAAATGAACTTAGAGCACAGAACTGCAAAGGAAGCCCCCTCCTAACATGAACTCAAAAAGCACCACATTCCCTAGAGACACTAAATACAGAACTCTATTCCCTGGTTTGCTGCTTACAACAATAAACGGTAAAATGCCAGCTTTGACTTAATGTTACTTGGGAAGGCTGCAAGCAACTAGAGGTGGTAGACTGAAAGATGACAGCCATCCCTGAAGAAGTGTTTGCCCTTCTGCCCATCCAGTTCCAATACTACATTAGTCCATCATAAAAGACAGACTGGGGTAATTATAAGCAATTTTTTTTTTTTGAGTGGGGAATTTTGAGAGAGAAAATGGCAATACCTGTTTTAGAAGTTCAGTAAAACAAGTCAGAACAGCAAATCTATTAATTTATCAACCAGTAAACTCATGCAATCCTGGCACAGGATGCAGAAAAAGGGGATGAAAATAGCCATATACAGCACTGTCAGAGGAAACTACTGTCCTGTTAGGCTGCAGAGCACTAGCAAAGTGGCTGCCATGCCTCTGCAGAACGGACTGCATTGACCAGATTAGGGCAAGAGGATTACACATTCACAGGGACAGGGAAGAACAGGCAAAACTGAACATCTTCTGAACAGCACCTGAGCAGCTAGAATAAGATGAGTGACAAGGTGTTCAGAGCCCCCCACCCAGCCCTGTTGCTAGCTTGCTGCAAGGCTCTAGGCAAGGAATTTTAGTCATGCCTCAGCTTCCTTCTCTGAATACATCCATCTCAGGGAGAAGAGAGTCCATTTGCAAGATACATTTGAGAAAAGCTGTCTGTGCATATGACAGAAATACTAATTCCAGGATAAAACAGGGTACAGAAGTTTTCTTTGCACCCCCTGCACTTCAGAACACCTCAAATGAAGGCAGCAGTTAAACAGCTCCCTAAATCGCAGTTCCTGGTGATGTATGTCTCCTCAGTTTGTCTACACAGACAAGAAAATTCAAAGTCAAACCCATTTCATATCTTTATATCATATTTTCTGCAGGAGAATCTATAGCTCTGACAGAGGCCTTTAATCACTACTGACAGGAGCCTTACACTATCCCAGCCCCCTTACCCATCCATTCCCTCCCTCTTCAGAAGCACCAAAACAGGATAGATACCTGATTTTTTTTCCTCTTTTGTTTGTTTGGGATTTTTGTCAGGACCCCTACTACACCAGGCTAGGAGAGCAATTCATAGAGAAACCAGGAAGTTCAGCTACTGAAAGGTTTGAGAGCCAGGGCAGGACCACTGACATACTGCCGGACCACAAGGGAAAACAAACAAGACAAGAACACACATGCCCTCCCTGTCACCCTCTGTATCCCTCCCACCGTGATCAGACTGAGGAAGCAGAATCCTGCACTTCTACAGTCCAAATAAGAGAAAACCTGGAAAGCTTTGCAAAAGGGGAACACCAAAAGCTACTGCAGTCATCTGCTGGAACAGTTAACTTTGACATGGCTCAGCTTCTGAAATTCAACTATGCTTGCAGGTAAGCACAGCTTCAGTTCTACCACTCATAACCCAGAGGGGACTTTGGGAGCCAGAGGTCTCAGTACACACCACCCTAAGGCTCCATGAGAGTCTAACGGCAGTCTCCCAGCAAGTACACATTTCTTAACACTCTCACCAGATGTGATGGAAAGCTTTTGTAGTGACTCCTAAACTACATCTAAGAGGTAACACAAATGCTGCTATACCATTCATTCCTCTCCATAAATGCTGTGTAAGATCCTATTCCTCTTTTCTTTTCAGGAACATGCAGTGAAAACACTGATATTGTTCAGAAAAGAACTGCTTCCTATTTAAACAACTCCTCACTCCTCCTACCCCACACCAAAGGGAAAAAATATATTTCTCTCTTTCCTTCTCTTGCCTAGATACCACTTCTCCCCAAAGATCCCTCTTCCTCCCTCCAGTGCTTCATCACTCTTGGTAGGAAAACTTTTGCAGGAGTTGTCAGGCCCTTCATAGTTACCCCTATTAGGCTTATGAAATAGGGAAGATCTCTTTTCAGGAATTAGGGTCTCATGGCTAAGGCATTTGCAGACTTGAGTTGTAGTGCTGCGTCACTAGTTTTGCCCAATCCAGGAAATGCCTAATTTCTTCTCAAGAAATGAACCTTGTGCTCACTTTGATTTGTATCTCAAGATAGCTAGGAAGGAAACCAACAAGAAATTAGCACAGCAGGCTCCCTAATTTTATTTACCAGTTACATGAGGTAGGAAATTTCCCTTTACATTGTGCACCTACAAGACAGCTAAAAAAAATCATCCGAGTGTCCCACGATAGTCTATTACAGCTCTGTGTCAGCAATTAAATCCTGGTAGGGTGGAGCAGGAAATCTCCTGCCTTCCAGTAACAACGACAGGGTCACTGGAGGAAGAAAAGGACATTCATAGCAAGTCCCCACTCCTCCTGGCAGCAGTGGAGACCCTGTTCAAGTCCCAGGAGAAGAACAATAAAACTAGGGGCCACCTCTACAGAAGCTGGAATTTGCCATGTCTTATTTAATCTTACTCCCAGCATCTACAGTAAAAAGGAAAATTGCCCACCAAAAACCTGAGACAGTAGGTGGGAAAGTTGCATCCCTCCTCACCCAGATTTCCCATGCATATAATCCATTTCTACTTCCTGAAAGACAGTTCTGCATCAAGATGCAAATGTCATCTTTATTTTGTGGACTCCATTTTGTAATCATTTTAGATTGCGATTCTTATTGCAACACTCTCCCTTCTGGATTACAGCAAGCAGTTTTGCTGCTAGGGTTGATGACAACAGCAGACTAACTCTGAGAAGTCAGATTCTCAGGGGCCATCTGTCACTTGACGCTCCCCTACATGGTAGGATTCTTCCCATAGGGACTGTGATTCCAACCACTATATAGAAACCAAGCAGGTAGCTGGAACAGACTCAAGAAGCACATTGGCAGAACAGAATGATTTACATGGAGGGTGTTATTCTGGCATAAGACTAGGAACAATCCTTGCATGAAGACAGCTGACCAAAAATAGTTACCTCCCTTGTGACCAAGACCAGACCAAGCTCCACAGGACCAGCAGGCAGACTGCAGAGATTTCAAGCTTCTGCTCTTTTCAGAAGTTGAACTCCAGTGTGCT